GTTCGACTTTGTTTAGTTGATCGACAAGGTCAGGTAAATAAGTATCTCGGGGATATATAAATCGAGCATCATCAATATAACGGAAGTACGTTGTTTGGGTAAAATATTTTGGAAAGGACAAGATTCGGGAAATTCTAAAACGATAATGCTTAACTTAGAGGTGTTCCCATTGGTAATCCAAATTTTTGTTTTTAATAATCATCATTGAATGTGAAGTAGCATTCATTGTTTGTGAAACGGCAGATTTTTATTATTTTAGCGGTTAGGAGAGAGAGAGAACTTTATCTTTGATTGCGTTAGGCGCTTTTTTTTAAAGATTTAAGTAATTAGACTAGTGTGTGCCTTGATTACAAGGTCATCTACGGCAAATTTGTGTCCTGGCTCTTACAATATTTCACCATTCCTGGCAGATCTTTTAATATCACAAAGTGGAACACCTACTTACAAAAGTAACGTAAAGAACAAGAAAAAAAAACTCTAAATGAATTCAGTTAGATAAAAAAAAATCTAAAATTCCCAGCACCTCTCTGGTGTGTATGTGTAGCCCTACCAACATAACAAAATTAGTCTGATGAAGTCCTGAAGGGCGAAACGCGTCACAAGTAAATTTTTTCCACTTTGCCATTTCCCCTTGATATATAAAAATATATCTTTATCTCATATATATATATATATATATATATATATATATATATATATATATATATATAGATAAAGATATAGTTTTATAAATCAAGATAATATAAAATAATATAACAAATATATATGAGATAAAGATATATATATATATATATATATATATAAATAATAAATATATATGAGATAAAGATATAGTTTTATATATCAATCATTAGGCTGCCTGACGCCTCTGAGTGTTGACTTCAATGTTCACTTTTATATTTATTTTTTGCATACGCTCTATCTCTGATATTGAGCACTTTATCCCATAAATATAGCACAAATTAAAACTTTATTTCTTCATATATATATATATATATATATATATATATATATATGTGTGTGTGTGTGTGTGTGTGTGTGTGTGTGTGTGTGTGTGTATATACAGAGGGAGAGAGAGAGAGAAAGAGAGAGAGAATAGATAGATATAGTTATGATAAAAAGAAAGATATGCGTACATATAGTTGCACGTACATATATATTTCTTTCTTAGTTAGAAAAAACAGTGCTCAATGTTATATAGCAGAACTGTTAAGTATATATTAGTGATTATGCATAAGTTTACAACTGAAGATTGCACGTGTGCATGAAACTACGAGTCGTGGTATCGACGTGGTATATTATGTACAATCAGTGATACATACATACATACATATATATATATATATATATATATATATATATATATATATATATATATATATATATACACACACACACACACACACACACATATATATATATATATATATATATATATATATTATAATAAAAAAAAGAAAGAACAGTAAAATATATAAACTGGTGTTCTTATTGATATTTTCATTTTTACAAAACAGTGCTCAATAGTTATTACTGTGTAGCTTGAAGAAACCATATTTTAAATCAATTTATAATATATATATATATATATATATATATATATATATATATATATATATATATATGTAAAAGTAGGTAAAAGCAATAAAAAACAAGACGTGTGTTGATTATTGAAGCACATCAATAATAATGTCTTTCGGTACTGTTTGAAAATCTATTTGAGCTACACGTTTCCTAAATTACTAGACATCGTTAAATGACCATTTTACATGCAAACTATTTATTCTTATTATTTATTAAAAAAATAAAAATTATAATAAATGCCTTATAATAAAAAAATTATGAAAATAAAAATATTAAAAATGATTTTAATGAAGTAAATGGATTCTAGTATAAAGTGACGTTTTGTTTTTCATTACTTTTACCTACTTCTTAATTTATATATATATATATATATATATATATATATATAAATTAGCTGATTTAAAATATGGTTTAAAAGTAGATATAGAGCAAGTATATTATAATAAGGGTAGAATACTTGCTGTATATCTACTTTTGCATGCCTTTGTATATATTCATTTATTTTCAAGGAAGAATCCGTAACGTAGTTTTAAAAACGTCGGCTATGTTTTACACGTTTCACGGTGGAGTAATGGATAGCGGCTCGGATTGAGATAATCGGAGAGCCGAGTTCAAATTCCACTAGAATCCATTACGTTCACTTATGTACTAATACCTTTGGGAAAGGTATGAATCCTCTTCTTACTCTGGTAAATAGCAGGATAGACCTGGTTCTATAACCTTTGATGGCAACTGGTCTACTGCGAAAAGAAATGGCAACCTACTTCGGGAAAAAAATCTGCCTCGTCAGTTATGTATCGAAAGATACATGATCGCCTAAGCGTGTATCACGTATGACATATAATTGACTGATTGATTTAATTACGCTAGAATTTTTCGAATGACATGTTGTCATGAATGCTGTTGTCGTTTGGACATATCCTAGAGGAGAATTTTCAGCAGCCATTTATACAAATTACAAAATTCATGGCCGAATTCCGAAAAAAAAACTTCCTGTTTTTTTTTTCAAATAACTTATCCAATATGGCTTCTAAAGCAGCAGCTGAGATCATCATTTTTAGACACATGTCGGCCATCAAACCCTACAAACAGAAGTAGATGAATTCTAATATTAAATGAATGCTTGAACTACTATTATAATATTAGTAATACTGGTATGATACTTACTGTATACCTACTTTTGTGACCCAGTGTATATTTCAGCGAAACTTTCACTCTCAAAATTATAGTTTATAATTATAATTTATATATATATAGAAAAAGGAAGGCGTCAGTTTAAACTGACGTCAGGGGGGATATGGGGCGATGAGATCATAATGAAAACCAATATCATCCCACCTTCTATTTTTCTGTCTTGATATAAATGTTTCATTTATAATTTTTTTCTATGGAGGACGCAAAGTGACACAATGTCGAATAAACGAAAGTGAGTAAATCATGTTATTGAATTATTTTAATGCAAATTAATATTTAAATTATTTTAGTTTGGGATTAATCTATGTGTTATATATTTTAATATACTTGAGGTAATGAATTAAAATGTTTTCTTTTAATTTTTAAAATTTTTTATAGTCATGGATTGGGAAAGGAGTAATTCTTTCAGTAATAGAGATATCTGAAAAAATCCGGGTCGTAGATTTATAATTTGATAAGATTCGATAGCGGCAGCCTCGAGAATATTTCTTCTAAGTAAGTTATTTTCTCTTTTAATAATTGTGTCATTCTTTGAATTCTGAATGCTGTTGTCGTTTCGGCATATCCAAAAGGAGAATTTTCAGCAGCCATTTATAACAATGCATGGCGGAATTCTGAAAAAAATTACCTTTTTCTGAAAAAAAAAAAAAAACAACAACAAAAAAACAAAGAAACAAAGACAACTTATCCAAGTTGTGCATGAATTCTAACTTTGCAGCTGAGATCATCATTTTTTAGAAATGTGTCGACCATCAAACTCTACAGAGAGAAATAGATGTTTGTGCAACCTTGTAAGGAGACATGGGGGATAAGTATAGCAAGTCCGAATGAAATAAAATAAATAAATATCATACTTACTTTAATTAAATAAGCTAAAGTTATTTCAAATGTAAAAACTAAAATTTAAGAAAACCGACTATATCAGCGAAATACCGAAGAGCTAAAATGTAAAACAAGGAGCTTTTGGAATAGGCCTTCAGTTCTGGGCTTTACTTGCCCAATGTGTAGGCATGCAGTATAGAACCACATGTAAAGTATTCATTAAATTATTAATGTAGCACAAGGAAACCTTTTCTACAGAAAACCAGATAAAAACCGAAGTTAAATAGTAACAAAGGTTCATAAGATTTTCTTGGTTCAATAAATTCCCAAATTTTCAAGAAAAATAAAATCATAAATTACTAATGTTTAGTAAACACTGCTTAGTCTTGCATAAGGTTGCCACAATGGGGCGTTCATGATAAACAAACCCATTACTTTGAGCCCTGACCACCGCTTTACCTGTGGTAGAGAAAAATGATGTGATACCCAACCACAGCTTGAACAGTGGTAGAGAAAAATGACTTAATGCCCAGCCACCGGTTGAAAGATATGTAAACACTTGTAACTATTTTTATATCTACCGTGAAACATAACATACCAATTATTTTCGAAATTTGTCTCGGGAGTTGAGGCAGAATGGTTAAAATTGTTCAGGAACGCAGGGCTTAAAAGGGTTAATGATCTAATAAACAAACATAAGAACCATTCGTATAAATCAGGCAATAAATCCTGGATTATCAGCGTGTAGATTATTAAGCATCTGGAATGTATATCAGACTCTTAGGTTGACTTGTACAATAATTTAAGAAATCCTTCCTAGATTAGGATGGCCGCTTGGTTATACCAGGTACTGTAAGTTTGAATGTGCGGGTGGTGTAATAAATAATGGCTTGGAATTGTTAATCGGAGAACCGAGTTCGAATTCCCATTGGGATTGTTATATTCACTTACGTTCAAATAACATTGGGAAAAAGGTATAAATCCTTGCTTTTCCTCCTGCTATGAATTAATTAATGGAAATTGTGTCTGTAAAAATCATTATTATTGCCAAAACATTCTTAAAATCTACAAGTATTTTCTGGTTTTAAATCATCTTTTAAGTTGTTGGATTCAGTTACGCGCAAATACCCTTAGGAAAGGTATGAATATACATGTTCTCCTTCCAGCTACGGGTTAATTAGTAAGATTTCTATCACTAAAGTATTTATTATCTCAAAAATATACAATTTTAAAATATTTCTGGCTTTAAATAACCCAGTTAAGTTGTTGTGTTACTCGTTCACTTGTTCGAAAATACCTCTGGGAACTTACCGGCAACCCTGTGCTTTTTTTCTATAAACGCTTTCATGGTAATTGTCGTGATGAACATTCCTCTCTGTTACCTAAGCGATCGTAGTTCGATGTCTTCTCTCTCACTCTCTTTGTCTCTCTCTCTTTCTCTCTCTCTCTCTATCTATCTATCTATCTATATGAATACAATTCTTCTCCCCCCATCTATGGGTTAATTAATAAGGCTTGTATCACTTAACAATTACTATTTAAAAAACAAATTCTTAGCATCTAAAAATATTTTTGGGTTTTAAATAACCTGAAAAAGTGTTGATAAGCCGTAGAAAATGAATTAATCAATCAATAATCAAAAATATACTTCGATTTGAATGTTTATATTGATGGAGTTAAGTCAGATATTTCTACGGGTGCTACTGCTGCCTTGTAACTCATTTCTGTCCGGTGCATGGCCAGGTCATCGGCGATTAAATCGACTACGCTATCAGGACTTTCTGTTGACGAATGTGCCCAGATGCACAGCAGGATTATCTAGCGCAACGTGGATAGACGATGCTCCATAGCAATGTATGCAGTCGCCGGGCGTACGGCTTCCTAGAGTGAAGACAACGATCAGGTTGGGCAGTTCCTCGCAACGGAATCATCGGCTAGGTCTCCCTTGACGAAAGGGAGCTTATAAGTTGGAGGACATCGACTGCGGTTTGACTAGCAGAGGGACGTGTTCTGCCAGGTGAAATTACCCAATACACGCTCTCCATGAATACCTGACCGTCTTTCAGTCCAGATACGCGGAGGGAACTAGCCAAACTTTCGGGAAAATACGACCACGCCCGACCATAGAACTGATGGTGATGATGAGGATGATGATCTGAACTGACACCAGATGGAAAAATTTGGATGTTTGGCTAAAATAAGAAATAAATAAGATACGAAACGTTGATGAGTATTTTATACTTTCTGAGCCGACAAAACGCTTCCGTTGATGGACTGGAGCAGCTGAATTGTTCTGACATTTACGCCATGCCATCGTTCAATTTACTTCTTTGTTCAAGCGTTTGTTCGCACAGTCCTGTTTTTACTCACCTGTTTTTTTTGTTTTTTTTTGGTTGATGGGGGTGGGTGTCTGAGTGCAAATTTCAATAAACAAAATAAACGCCTTTACTTCTCTCCATTAATCACACTGAAAATCACCAGGAAATAACGAGTTTAGCAATCGGGAAAAAAAGTAATGATAACTAAAAATAATAAAAAAAAAAAATGATTTTGGCAAAAATAAACAAAAAACAAAAACGATACGATGCAATAAATATGTCCAAAATGCGCGCATAAAATAAATCTCCAAAATACATCCGCAAAACGTTGTTAAAGATGCCTATACAATACAACACGATAAAAGCACACTCAAGGTAAGAAAGTAAATACATTCACAGCGCAGTACAACGTGTACAAAAACTAATAAGCACACACACAATGTAATGCAATAAATATGTATGAAAACATAATAAAATCCTATACGTTCCAAGATAATAAACGAATACGACGTCAATATAATAAACAAATACATAAGGCAATACAATAAGAAAATACATAAGGCAATATAATAAAGAAATACATAAGCCAATATAGTAAATAAATAAAATATCAATATAATAAATAAATACATAAGACAATACAATAAGCAAATACATAAAGCAATATAATAAAGGAATACGTAAGGGCATATAATAAATAAATATCAATATAATAAATACATAAGACAATACAATAAAGGAATACTAAGACTATATATAAATTAATACATTAAGCAATATAGTAACTGATTACAAAATATTATCATAAACAAATACTTCACACAATATAATAAACGCATACATGAAGTAATATAATATAACGGAATATGACGTCAGTATATTAAATGAATATATAAGACAATACAATAAACAAATACATAAGGCAATATACTAAAGAAATACATAAGGGAATATAATAAATAAATAAGATATCAATGTAATAAAGGAATGCATAAGACAATATAATAAACACATACATAAGGCAATATAATAGACAGATATGTAAGGAACTATGATAAACGAATACATAAAACAATATAATAAACAAATATATAAGGCAATGTAATAATAAAATAAAGGAATAAATAATATTTTTTTAAATGAATATATAATACAGTATATTAAACAAATACGAATGTAATCTAATAAACGAATACTAAAAAAAAGAAAGAAAATATAATCTATTCAGAAGACAAAACGATAAATACATACAGGCACTGGTGAAGAAATGTAAAAGGACGAAATTAAATTACAGGTTTCAAATAATGTCGTTTAAGACTGTTTAGTCTTCTAAAACTGTCCTTCGAGGGCCAGGCATTTATACCGAATTCTGGAAACCGCTACTGATAGATATTATACAAATTTCATTAAAAACGACTGCCAAGATACAGCGATTAAGCTTCTTTTTTTAAAAAAAATTTCTTGCATTCGTACAAGTATTTTTCCTTTTCTGGACATAAAGTGTGTAAAAACTGTGTTAATAGTTGCCATTCTTGACTGTTGGCTTTTTCTTTTTTACTATTAATGCTTCCATTATTTTTAGCCTTTTTTTTTTACATGTGGATGAGTCTTTTATAGTCTTAATTGCCATAAGTATTTTGCGTGTGGAGTTTGTTAGGTTTCTCTGTGTTTAAATGGACCCTAATTGAGCTATGTCCTGAAAGATGTAAAGTGAGTCTTCTTGATAAGCATGTAGTGGTATGACCAATATAATTATTCCTGAATTTGGGTTAATCAGGAATGCAGCTCCTTATGGCGCATGTAAATTCATAAATTATATTAGTCCTCTGTAGTTTGGATCTTACAGGGGAGTTGTTATTGTTGACGACGAGGTTAGCTTTTTTTAAATTATTTATAATAGATGATTATTTTAATTTTTGTGTTCTGATCGGCTGGATGTGTGTATTTCTTAATAATGATAATTATTAAAGTATATCTATTTCTATATCTATCTATCTATTCGTTGTGCTACCAAAAATTTACTGAATTTTGAATTAAACTTATTACAAAGTGTTTGGCTAATAATATATTAATTTAAAAACATTTCTTGTCTAAAATTATTTGAAATTCTTTTTCCGTTAGTAGATATCAGTCGTAATGGATTTACATTATACATATAATAGCAGTATTGTATCATTAACGTTTGATTTAACAAATTTAACGTGGGCGATCGTGGTTCTCCACAGCTTTCTCTTTATGATTCTGTGGTACTCGTTCTTCTATATATTTGCACAAATTCTTCTTTCCTCACAATCTATCCATATGATTTTAACCCTTTCTTTATAATAAACAAAAAGCTGTTTTATTGCAATTTTTGTAATGTAGCTTCCTGTGCTTTTTTCTATAAACGCTTTGATGGTAATTGTTCTGATGAGCATTCCTCTCTGTTACCTAAGCGATCGTAGTTTAATGTCTTCTCTCTCTCTCTCTCTCTCTCTCTCCATATATATATATATATATATATATATATATATATATATATATATATATATATATATATAGGTAACCCAAAAAAACGGGAACTTTTAACTATCCAATAAAACCAAGAGTGATGGAAGAAAAATATTTTATTCATAGTAATTGAAAGTTTAAAACATGCCATTTAAGAAACAATGATGGAATTTTCATTTTTTAAAAATTACGTCCTGTACATGTCGTCCTCCTGTACGAATGCATTCTTGAATTCTGCTGTTGAGATTCCTCATTGACTGCTGCAACATCTCAGCTGGGATACTGTGAATTTCATCTTGAATTCTAAATGGCAAAATGTTTACTTGCTCAAGGTCACTGTCTCGCAGTGTTGCCACTTGCTCATGTCTGGCAATACGCACTTCAAAAATTCCTGTTTTTTGGGGGTCACCCTCTATATATATATATATCAGTTCCTATCTTTTTTCTAAAAGAAGTAATGATTTTTTTTTATTAATCTGACAGATTTTTATCATATTTTAAACGTTGTTTTTATTCGATACTCACATTTCTGTAGAGGCTTCGTTAGAAAGTTGTCGAACATTCAAGTCGGTAGACGAAAATAAATATATTTATATTATAATGATAGATTTATAAATCTAACATATTTATAAGTCTACTACTGGTCCTTGCTTTGAATGTTGTTGCCAGATATAGTATGGTGTTCCTATTTATCTAGAACTTGATGAAATCCAAAGAAGAATCTACAATGCTACTGGCCTCTTAGCCTCAATCATTTTCCCCTCCGTTGTGATGTAGCTTCTTTGCGCCTTTTTCTATAAATACTTTCATGTTTATTGTTCTGATAAACTTTCCTCTGTTACTTAGGCGATCCTGATTCTCTATGGCTTCCCCTTTTATCATTGTTTTTGTGGTATTTCTTCTGTATATTTGCACAAATCCTTCTTTTACTCAAATTATATCCACACAGATTTTAACCCACACTAAGCAATAATTTAAAAAAAAACAACTATTTTTTGGTGTTTATTCTTCTCATTTACTTATCTTACTTATCTTACGCTTGGATAGCGGTTATCGACACCAGAAATAGGATTGACAAGTCGGTTTCAAATTCCGGACGTGCCTTAAATCGTGAACAACGACGGCTTTATACAGGAAGTGGAAAGATTATATTAAATTAACTGCTGTTAGGAAAGTTGGTTCACTGTGTCATCTTAGACAATTTTTTTTGACAGAATATATTTTACATATTTATATCGTCAGTGGGTCGATCTGAGTTCAGTCTGAAGTCGGACGACCGGCTGACCGGTTGAACTCTCTGCCTTCGGGCAGGGAGGAACCCGAAAAAGGCTACGCCGAAGGGCGGAGTTTCTTTCGAGGAGGTAAACCGGCCCTGAACCCGTTTATACGGGTTTTAAAAGGGCATATTTTTGGCCGATCCCACGGGCTCGGAGATCCCACTTTAAACCGGCCTTGTGCCACATGATGCCCTCGGGGCGGGGGGTGACTAAATACCGTCGCTCAGTGAGTTGGCCAGTCAGTCGATGTCGGACGACCGTTAGTCGGATATTATAGTATCAGCCACCATAACTAGATTACTGCGTCATTACCTATTATATCAAGTTCCTAACGTTTTGTACATCGAACCTATTTTAGGACCGACTTAGTACAAATACAAGCATCTACTGTGAAACCACTCCATAACAGAATACTACTGCCACACTGGGTCTGGTGCTCCTGCTATATATTTAGAGATTCTTGATAAAATCGAAAGAAGAATCTGCAATGTTATTGGTCTTGACCTAGCATCTAGGTTTCAGTCACTTTCCTACGGCCTTAATCTGCCTTTTCTATAAATACTTCCACAGTAAATTTTCTGATGAACTTCTCACTATAGTACCCAGACTTTATGAATTTAAGCGCAGTATTAGATTGACGGTAAGGTCTTATCATTTTACTGTTGAAATGGATAGATGTAACCGCAAGTTCTATGCTAACAGTTTCTTCTGTCATACTTCTCGCTTGTAGAATTCTCTTCTAGCTCCTTGCTTTCCAGTCAACTTTGATCTTCAAAATTTTAAATGCAATGTCAATCGGTATCTTAAGTCTTTTTTTTATTTATTTCTGTCCTTTTATTGTTCTCGCTTCTTAATAATGTTTTTCTTTTCCTTATTCTTTCACACTTAGTCAGTCAGTTATGTGCCATGCGTAAAACAAGCTTAGGTGATCATGTATCTTTCGATACATGATAGAATAGGCAGAATTTTTGGCGCACTCGGTTGCCATTTTGACCAGTTGCCATCCGAGGCTATAGAACTCGCTCGGTCCTGCTATTTACCCATAGCTGGGGGAGAAGAAGAGGTTTCATATCTTTCCCAAGAGTATTAGCATGTAAGTGAATGTAATGGATTCGACTGGAATTCGAACTCGGCTCTCCGATTCCTCAATCCGAGCCGCTATCGATTACTCCACCGTTTTGGGTAAAATGATCAAAAAAAAAAAAGAAAAGAAAAGAGGCGATTTGAAAGCTTACCACAAAGATCTGAGTGTATGTGTGTCATTTACGTATTAGGGTTGTAGAGGCGCCACTTTTAGCAGAAGTGGTGTGTCTAGGGAAAGATAACCTAACTGAGGCAAAGACTGTTTTTGAGTTCTGCGCTGCTATTTAACCCATAGCTGGAGTAAGATATATTCATGCCTTTTAACTCAAATTGAATGGAGCAGAATCAAACAGGAATTGAACGCGGTACGCCTAATTCAATTTCCGCGTCGATATCTATTTCACCATTGGCGTCTCCTTCCGTAAAGAACTGATGGCAAATAGGCCGTCAGGATTAGCGAAATGGCGACCTGATGTTGGTGTGACTAGCTTGGGGACCCTAATGAACCTTAAGCAGAAACTACCCTCTATTAACCATCTGTCGGTCCCACTCAGAGATCCTTTGAGGAGATGTAGAAGATCAGTATTAATGACACGACAACGGATCGAGTCTTTCTCCCCTCGCTCTCATCTTCCCCGAACACGACCGCCTGGGGTTCCAAATTTTATGCCATAGCTCTCGCTCTTCTCAATTCTCAGTCATATGCCGAACCTCATCAGCATTGTAATTGTTTTATTGGCTTTCTCAGTTGGAGGTCGGGACGAGGGGTTTGACGTTTTCGACGCTTCCCGACTACTTCGCCCGTTGTGCCTTCACTATGAGACGCCAGCTATACGAAACGAGTCTTGTTGCGGCTGATGGTAAGTGGCAGCCATTAATAAGATGTTGTTAACGCTGGCATAACGGGAAATTAGAAGATCACTTCTAATTTCGCTGTTGAGCCGATGTCATACCAAAGCAAAGTTGAGCTGAGCGGACTGAGATCAACTATACTATCTTTTACCGCTGACAAAGGAGAAGAAAAAAATAGAAAAAAAGTGAAGGATGGGAGAGTTCTTACGGTAGATGATTCTACTAGTTGTCTTTCACATTTTTATCCATTTTTTCTACATGACATATTTCTTATAAGAGTAATTCTTTTAGCGAACGGATTCTATTACCAAAATAGACACAAGTTTATTTTATTAGGAGAATTCTTTTCTTCAGGCATTTTCACTTCATTTCTCTTTTTCGCTATTCTTTCATTTTTCCCTCGCTTTTTTTCTCGGCCATTTATCTTTTTTGATTATATTCTTCTTTCTTTCCCTAGTTTTCTTTCTACTTTTCTTTTTCTTCTCTCTTTCTCTTTTTATCTGTTTTTGTATGTTTTTGAATATTTGCTTCTTTTTTTTTTGTTTGTTCTTTGTTTACATTTTCCTTTTTTCTTTTTCATTCTCTATTTTTATTTCCTCGCTTTTTTTTGTCTTTGAACACTATTCTTTCTTTCTTTCTTTCTTTCTTATCTCTGGCCATTTGAATTGTTTTTCTCGTTCCTCACTGATATTTTTCTTTTTTTATTTTTCCTTTCTTTCTTTCTCATCTCTGGCTTTTTTAATTCTTTCTTTCTTTCTATTCAAACTCTATTTGAATTCTGTCTTTCTTTCCCCACTGATATTTTCTTTCTTTTATATTTTCTTTCTTTCTTTACTATGTCCGGCTATTTGAATTCTTTTTACTTTTTTTCTATTCAATCTCTGGCTATTTGAATTCTTTCTTTCTTTCTTTCTTTCTTTCTTTCTTTCTTTCTTTCTTTCTTTCTTTGGCTATTTGAATTCTTTCTTTCTTATTTCGAACCATTTGAATTCTTTCTTTCTTTTCCCACTGATACTTTCTTTCTTTTATTTTTTATTTTTTTCTTTACAATCTCCAGCTATTTAAATTCTTTCTTTCTTTCTATTTAAACTCTGGCTATTTGAATTCTTCTTTCTTTCTTTCTTTCTTTCTTTCTTTGGCTATTTGAATTCTTTCTTTTTTTTTTCATTCTTTATTTTTCTATCCATTTTTTAGTACCTACTTTTTCATTCTTTCTCATGTTTTTTATATTTCACATTCTTGTCCGCCTTCTTTCTTTCTTTCTTTCTTTCTTTCTTTCTTTCTTTCTTTCTTTCTTTCTTTTATGTTTGTTTCCTAAATTCGTTCTTCTAGATTATTATTTCCCTGATTTCATTGTTTATTTTTTCCGGTTTCATTAAATCTTCCTTTCTTGATGTCTTTTCCCCCTTCTGCCATTTCCAGTTTTTGTCATTCCTTTTTCAACCCCCGAAACGGAATGATGGGGGGGGGAGATGGGGGAGGGGGTAAAAAGAAAAGTAATTCTAGTAAATCTGCATTCTTTTGCATTTGATATGGCTGGCTTTTGTTTAATATTTGTTTTTTTTTTATTTGTTCTTTCATTTGCTTATCGAGCTACATAAAGATATACAGGCGGACTATCAGTCAGACAGAGAGACAGACAGACATACAAGCAGGCAGACAGATACATAGATGAATATGAACAGACTGAGGATAGAGATAGATAATGAAAAGAATGAGATAGATAGATAGATAGATAGATAGATAGATAGATAGATAGATATGAACAGACTGAGATAGATAGATAGATAGATAGATAGATAGATAGATAGATAGATAGATAGATAGATATGAACAGTCTGAGATAGATAGATAGATAGATAGATATGAACCTGAATGAGATAGATAGATAGATAGATAGATAGATAGATAGATAGATAGATAGATAGATAGATAGATAGATATGTCGAAGAAGCATGAGAAAATATGACCAGACGCATATCGATATTAACAGACATAAATAAATTGATATTAATGTTTGTGTGTGTCTATGTGTATGTGATCGTGTGTTACTATTAATTTATTTATGCCCGTTAAAGAAGGAATGAAAGAAAAACAGAAGAGTTTAACAAATTGGAGAGCAGACAAAGAAAGAAAGAAAGAAAGAAAGAAAAATCACAAAGAAACCAATCCGAGAATAAACAAAGAAAGGAAGTAAGAACCAAATATAAAAAGGAAGAAAGATGAAAAGGTGCTACTTTGGCTTGTTACCTACATGACATGAATCTACTTTGATATGCGATCTACACTTTTAATGTGATCTGCGTTTTATGAATTTGCGTCAAAAAACAAGGAAAACACTTGTACTGGTTTCGTGAGAATGTCACTAATAGAATTTTTTAACATTTTAATTACATTTTCTCTATGTTATATATATATATATATATATATATATATATATATATATATATATTATAATTGGACGTCATTCAAAAATAAAATTTGCAGTGTTAGATATTTTAGCTTATGTACATGCTGTTTATCGCTAGATAAATAAAAGAAACTTTATAAATATTTTAATTACGTTTTAGTTATATTATATTATATTATATTATATATATATATATATATATATATATATATATATATATATATATATATATATAGACGACTCTCCCGTCGAATTTGACGTATGAGGATCAAGCAGATCAGTTCCCAGGAAACCGACAGCCCGACAACAGCAAATTTGAGATTCGATTATAGTGGTGAAGGTTTCGTGCAGGACCATCCACACTTTTTTGAAACTGGTACACGACGTGCCACAAGGTCCCCAAACGACCCTCCGCGGGTTTTGAATTCAGAGTTGTCCTTCTCCTAGACCAGTTGCCATCCAAGGCTATAGAACCCAGTCTGTCCTGCTATTTACCCATAGCTGGAGGAGAAGATTCCCACCTTTCCTAAGGGTATTAGCACGTGTGTATATATATATATATATATATATATATATATATATATATATATATATAATTTACTATGTAAATATCATTCTAAATTAAATATGTACAGTATATATGTAATAATATGTTTTACTATGTAGATATCATTCCAAAATAAAATTTATACATTGGAGATAATTTTTCTTGTAGATAACAAGCCAAAATAGATATTTTTCATTGTAGATAACGGGCGATAGTAGCGATAAAAACAAAAAAGTGCAGAAAGAGAAAGAAAGACAGACAGGAAAGAAAGAATGAAATATGGCGATCCACTGTTGTTGGTGTATTGGATAAACAAAGTTTCTCCGTAAAACAAGCAGGTTGCAGGAATGGAAACACGCGAATTGTTTGTTTCTCTTAATGTTCGTATTTGTGCAAGAACGTCTCTGTCATCTCCCATGACATGTCTGCTCGCCATCATCTAATCAGTTTTGTATTGTCATGAGAGCGCCTGTATTTCGTTCGTTTTTACCCAGAAAATAATGGCGACAAGACCTCATCCATCACAAGGTAAAGGAAAATGCGCTTAAAAACAACTTATTGTCACCGTCGTCGGACATGGCAGCTCGACAATAGTAACTTTGTGTCTCTTCTTCACTTGTCCTACGAAGGGACATATTAGCTTAAGGTTTTTGAACTTTGTCGCTCATCTTGTTCGGTTGACATGTACATAATCGTATTTAAAAAAATGTGTGCACACGCGTCTATTAAGCTAGTCCATTTGAATTATCTGTTACAATCATTCAACAAAAAAATGTCACACAGTCTTCTAAGAGTATAACACACCTGTTTATTTGCTTCCGTATCACCTGTGGTATGTGTTTAAATACGCGCACAGGAGCGCGCGCGCCCGCACACACACGCATGCATGCATACATCGACGCAAACATATACACGCGAGTGCGCGCACAGATACACACACACACCTATATATATATATATATGTGTGTGTGTGTGTGTGTGTTGCTTAAAATTGTTTATACTTATGGAGCAAAAATACTCAATATCAGAGAAAGAGAGTTTATAGATATATATAAAATTCAGCACTGCATGGTGACAGTCAGTTTCACTCATCATATGATATTTAGGGGTGAAATTGACAGTAGATGTCATTGATTTCTATGCCTATTCTCTCTCATCCATATATATATATATATATATATATATATATATATATATATATATATATATGTAGAAAAATAGGAAAAGAACACGTTAGGTAAATAATCCGGAGTTTTTGGTATTTTTGTTTTTATTTTTTTAAAAACAGTGCTCAATACAGAAGTAGAGCTTAAATTATAATTATTTAAAAAAAATATGATACCTTCGCTACATAAGAGTTCTCAAGTTTCAAAAACGAGAGGTTCCTAAATTTTCGCTTGAGGAGGAAACAGGGCTTGATACTTTAACTCAATTTAATCTTAATAATTATATTGAGTTTTTCGGCTCTCGGTTTTAAAACATGAGAATTCTTATGTAGCGAAGGTATCATATTTTTTAAAATAACTATATATATATATATATATATATATATATATATATATATATATATATATATACGTTTTATCATTTTGTGACTGGAAGGGATAATTATGAAGATGATATTAATCCAGGGAGAGGTCAATGTAGATTTCAGAGCATTATAATAATAAGAAGAAGACGGTGACTATAATTATCCATTTCGTTTATAATTTTTATTTCGTGAACACCGAGATGTTCATCTCATCAGAAATTGCTCCGTGAATGAAGAAAGGACACAAGACGTAAAATTTAGATTGGTAATGGGGAGGGAAGGTGAAGGGGAGGGGTAGGGCAAATACAGGGCTGAGAGATTATTGGTTGGAAGTAGGCGGTTTCTTCAGTCAAGAATTTACTCTACACTTTTTAGATTTTAATGTTGGTTTGTATGTTACTTTGGCCAATACCGTTTGCTGTTTTTATGCAGGATAAATCAGGTCGATTTAAATTAATTTAATTCAAGGGGACTTAATCTAAATAAAATTTGGTATTAATATGGCAAAACTTACGAATTGTTTTTTAGGCCGAAGTTTAATAGTCATTGGAGACATTGAGTTTATATATATATATATATATATATATATATATATATATATATATATATATATATAAAATATAAAAAAAAAAAGAAAGAACAGTAAGATATAAAATCCGGTGTTCTTATAGATATTTTTATTTTTACAAAATAGTGCTCAATGTAAATTTACAGAGCATTAATATTATAAATTAATTGATTTAAAATATTTAGGGGTGAAATTGACAGTAGATTCGCTTGAAGATGAAATGGAACTAATGCTTTTAATTTAATTGCAAAATTAAATTCGGGGTTTTAAGCTTCTATTTTTGAAACATGGTTGGAACTGTGTAGCGAAAAAAAACATATTTTAAATCAATTAATTTATAATATATATATATATATATATATATATATATATATATATATATATTTTAAAAATTGTGTATTTAGGCAGCAATCCTTCTTTCATGCAGGTATCATTAAATGTGACAGATAAGCTTTGTTGAAGTTTTTTATATAATTTCTCATGTGCTCTTATAATTTTTCTTTTCACTAGATAAATTATATAAAAACTGTCCAAATTTTTTTTCCGAGCGCTTTCGGTTATTCATTTATCCATTTTCAAGGTTGAAAGATATTAACTGTTAAACAGAAATAGATTGTTATATGTATGTATTTATATAATGTTTCATTTTCAAAACAAGGTATTGTGTCCATGTCCATTGTTGATATTATTGAGTGTATTTTTTTTTATTAATAAAGCTTCCATTATTTTTAGCTTTTTTACATGTTGATGTTATATTTGTTAAGTATGTTACGAAGAGGGTCCAGTAGATCTGCATTAGTATTTAAATCAGATCTAATTGAGCTATGGTCAGAAAGATGTAGTGTTAGTCTTCTTGTTAAACATGTTGTAGTGTGGCCCATATAATTGTTTAAATCGTCAATTAAATTATAAAAATTAAATTGAATTATAGTATCAAGCTCTGTTTCATCTTAAATTTTTGGAATAATTAATCTTGAAATTTACGGAGCTATATAAGCATATTCATTCGTAATATTAATTACTATGGAAACGGCTGAAGCAATTATTTCAATAAGGGCCGTAAGGGTTAACATATTGTATCAACATATTAGTTACTTTCGGAAAGAGGTCAAGTCAAGGTAAGGTCAGGGTGTCTATTTTAAAGCGAATGGTGACATTCATTTCATGCATATCATCAAGTCTGTTTCAGCGATAGTCATTAGAATTATTGTTACGCTGTTAAATGTCTAAAGATTATTATTCATTTTTTCCTAAAACGGTTGTTTGTATATAAATGCGTCGTATTAAACTACAATTTATTTTTTGGCGACTTCATAAAGTTTT